TTTTTCCACTGGATGTTTTGTCCTCTTACTCAGTGGTGTGCCAGCAACCTGTTGGCTGTTCATGCAGAGCACTACAGGACTGGGCAAATCTTCTAGAAAGACTGTTAGAGCATCACTACTTGTTTATCTGGACATCATTGTGTTCTACTTTGTGAAATCTCATGTCAGGATGTCCATTATCAATTTCAAATGAAGATGTTATTTTAATAAAATATTTCCAATATTCTGTGTATAATATAATTGATAATTGATTATGTGTGTGTGTGACAGAGAGATAAAAGTGGAAGTGAACAAGCAGGGGACAGTCTGAAGCCAGATCTTTATTTACAATAATCTCTTGATAAGAAAAGTGCCAAGACATCCGATTTGAACATAATTCTGTGTTATTTTTAAAATGAATATATGGGGAGAAAAGCTTGAGAGTGGATTATACTGGTGGGCGTAACCAATGAAAACAAAGAAGTCAGCAGCTGTGAAGTAGTTGGATGTTGACAGCTGCATGGCAGGTGTGAAACTATAACAGCTTGTGTTCTCTCAAACAGAAGGCAGACTTACTAAAACAAAACAAACCCTTTGACCATTCACAGAAGCAGTGACCTCTGTGTGTTTGTGACTGAAGTTAATAGTAGTCGTAGTTGACGTTAGCTCCATGTCTGTAAGAACCAGGGTCACGCGGGCCGGTGGGGGAGTTTTCATCATAGTGGTGCTGACGGCCCTGGTCAGTGGCGCGAGCCTGGTCCCTCCAGTACGACAGGTCAGTCTCCAGCCTCTGGTGAGGAAAAATGAACCAAAGGTTTGACTCATTAAGAAACTGAGCCTCAACAAATCTAAAACTAACAGACACAGAGGCAGCTGATAAGGTGTCCACTGAGACTGTCAGCAGACATGCATGAAAGGCAAACGTTGAAAAGGCCAATGCTTTCACAGCGTTGGCCTATTAAGGAAGCAACAGTAAATGGCATACGAAGACTGATGCACTGGCTGAAACGAAAAGGCTGTCAGCTGTCAAAAGTGGTTGTGGCAGGGGGGTTATATTGTGCACTCTGCTGCCTTTTAATCTCTTCTTACGATCTGTTCCCTCCATTCCTTACTGTCCCTGGTGAATACATGACAGTCACTGACCTGAAAGAAAACTGCAACGGCCTCTAAGTGGGGTTATATATGTGTGCAGGAGGAGGAATTTGTGTTTCAGTTCTGTACTATTCAGTCAGACAGCGACAATTGAGAGGATAACTTCTTTTCTATCTGCGATAGAAGATTTTTAAAGATCCAGATTACTAAAGTTTTAATCATGTTGTTTATCTGTTTCGTATTTATGTCAATAAAATTAAATATGACTAAAGAAGCAACAGTCACAACATTAACACATCAAAGAGAAAGAAAGAGTTATTCCATCATCATTCTGAGCTATCATTTATTATAGGAGTTTCACACTAAAACGCTCATTGGACTAGGTGGCTGTGTGTTGATCAGCTTTGATTGGCAGTGGTGTTGCAATTGTGTATTGTGTATTGTGCAAGTGTAAATTAATATTAATTTATTAATAAATTAATAGTCCTGATTGGTGCACAAAAGTACTGTATGTGACAACACGTTTTATATGTTGCTCACAGTAAGACGCTGACTAAGAAAATAGGTTTTCAGGGTCTTTATTGATCTTAAATCTATACACAACATTGCACTTGCATCACTGAAGGGCCGTTAAAGGGTACCTTCACTGATTTTTCAAATCAACTTACTTTTCACAGTTAGTACTTTTCACTTATATTATCTGAGAAAATGACTTCAAGGCAGACGGACAGAAACATTAAAAATTGTCAATACAGTCCAACAAATGACACAAGGTGCACTATGGTCTAAGTATAGGAACCAGTGAATTTGGAGCTTGACTGGGGAAAAAGTGTAATTCTTGGCCTCTGCTGCTTCTATTTGGACTGTTCTTTTTTAATCCATCTCTCAACTTTATGTAACACTAAACTGTTAAAGGATCAGTATGTAGAATTCAGTGGCACGGAGCAGTGAGACTGCAACCAACTCGCCTCACCCTCCCCTTCCAAACACGCAGGATAAAGTACGGTGGCCACAATACTCAAACTTTAAAGAGCTTTAGAGCCAGTGTTTGGTTTGTCTGTTCTGGGCTACTGTAGAAACATAACAGTTCAACCTGGCGGCCTCTGTAGAAGAGAACCCACTCCCTCTGTAGATACAAATAGCTCATTCTAAGGTAACAAAAACACAAAATAGACTTCTTATTTTTAGCTCATTAATTAATGGATTAAAACATACATATGAATATGATTCCATTTCTGCTAATAGATCCTCCTAAATATGACATACTGGACCTTTTAACATACAAGTGAACCCTGTCACATTAGGTTGCGGAAACAGAAATATGGGTAGCAAATCATTTGAAGAATTTCTGGTCAGTTTGCTGTTGAGAGAAGGCAAACTGAACAAGTTCTTGATAAGAGTCTGGTGAGAGAAATGTTTCTGCTGTGACAATGTTCTTTACTTCAAACCCAATGTAAGAGTCATTCCTTAAAAGGTGGTAAACCTATGTGCTGTTTTTGTTATGCAGATCAGTTTTGTTCAGTAGAATACTCGTCATTGATTTCTGTTTCTGTTGTATTGAAAGATTTCAGAACAGACGCAACCCACCTGCTCATCGAATCCCATGTACATAAACTGCATAATCCACTGCTGAACGTCTGGTCTGCTGCGATCCCAGATGTTCCTCTTGGTTCTGCTCAGTTTTGCCAGAAACTCTTGAGCCTTGGAAGGGGGGACAGCGACAGAGGACTTTGAGGGGGCAGTACCAGCTCCTGCCACTGGATGGAAGCACAATAGGGCGACAGAATGAAATGGCATTTTCAAACAGAAATTGGTCTTTGTATCAGCAGTATGATATTACTAATAAGAAAAATATTACCATCTCTTTTCCTTAAGAACTTGTGCAGGCTGCTGTCACTGGATACATCTGTCAAGGAGAGTCAACAGAGAGATAATGAGCTGCAGTTTGATACCCCATTCCTCATGACACGTAAGTTTAAAGTCTTAATAAATAAAACACAATTGAATCAGCTCATTTCTAATGACGCACAATGTTTATTTTTGGTGTAAACTGTAAGTTTTTGCCGGTTATGTTAAAGCAGAATAGAAGTGAAGTACTGAACTTCTAAAAGATGTAAAAGGCTCAGAACTCATTCAGCTCATCAAAACTCCAGTTATTTTCTTAGTCAAAGCTACATCAAACCTGAATTTAATTTTTTCTGATTATTCCACTGGCACTGCAGCAGATTTTCTGATTAGTTTTACATTTATCACTCCCCCCCCCTTTTCATAAACTAGTTTCATGGAGGACTTTGTTCTCAGTTGTCATTATAGATGCAAATGTCAAAGTGAAGCATTGAGTGTGATTAAAGGAGAAGTTTCCAACACACATCCAATGAAACTAGTTAATGGCCAATTTGCATGTAAATATATTTGCTACAGTGACTTCCTTCCTGCTGCTCCTCTCTCCCATTGGAGCAACGGAGCTATACTGTGTGTGGCGAATGTTCTTAAAGTGTGCACTAATGAGATATCTTGTACCTCTCTGCACACAGCCAGTTCAGTCAGATTACCTTCCACAATACATGTAGGGAGTGCATTAAAGTCCCTCCTTACATCTGGGACACATTTCCTTTAGTCTTGGAGGGTTTCATTAATCTGTTTTCTGAAAAGCTAAAACCACAGAACACCATGTACCTAAGAATATGCAGAGAAATCCAGTCCGTATGTTACGGTGGACTCCAGCTTGGCTTCAGCCCGAAAAATGTGCACTGTGCGGTAAGAAGTGGATTGCTGCAATTGGAGAAAATTGTTTGCATGTGTTTTTTCCCCAGTATGTGTTGCAAATGAGCTACGAACAACACATTGCTGTGCTTTCACAATTGTGCAGCAGAAATGTAGATTATACTGATTTAAATTATGTTCTGTTGCACTGCTCTCATCTATTAAGTCTATATTTTCTCTTCATTGTATTTTCATTCTCCTTATCAAAGTTATTTTAAGTCTGTATGTGACAGAAAGAGAAAAGAAGACAACAACAGAGAAAATTGCCAGTTTCATATTTATTTTCTAATGGCTGCTTTTTCCTTTTGATGCTTTCTCAGAGTGACCATTCTCTCAAATAACATCCCACTTACTCTGACATGCAGTAATTGATCTTTCTACCTACAAATGCTACCACTAAATTACCTCTAAAATCTTCAGATAAGTACCAGGCCAGATGGTGAAGGACAGACAAAGGTAGACCAAAGAATGTGACCTTTTAGAAGCAGTTAAATCATAAGTAAAGCAGACGTTCAGACAAAGAAAAGAACAGGATTGAGCTCACCTCTAAGAGCCAACAGTGTCAGCAATACCGCTAGCCCCATTACCTTCCAACAGAGCTGCTGGGTTGCCATCTTGTACCCACTCAGTCTTTACAGAGCTGCTTAAAGGCAACAACTGTGCATAAACTACTGCACAACCAGAGGGAAGAGTGGGCGTCAACCCAGACTTTCCAAGTGGAAACTGGCCTATGGAGATGGAATGTCGTTTACCTCCTTGCCTGCAGAAACAAGACTGCAACTGGGAGCTTTTCTGCTCTTAAATGAATTTTCATGTGTGTCCCAGGTACTTTTCCATAACCCATACATACAGCACATGAACAGCAGTGAGGGAGAAGAAAGAAAAAGCAGAGTTCCAAGGTTTGTCATGTAGGTTTCCTTTGTGAAAAGATATACAAGATTTCTGAATAGTGTAACATGCAATTTCTGAAGCAAGTAACATAACATAAATACTGTGCTTTCATCTGACAAAAAAAATGTTTCCACTATCTGAAAACATCTGTTTCTGGTAACCATGTGCAACTGTGCACAGTAAATTAAACTCACAAACATTTTTCTGCATGTCGACGGTGTCTCTGCAATATTTATTACAGCAGCTTTTTCTTACGCTAAGCTAAAATAGCTGAGGAGAAATCTGGGCAGCGGTAAGACCTACTTGAAATCAATTTCAGCATTTACTTAGTGACTAACAGTGAAATACCTGAGGATGTCTTTGCTCTTGTTAAAAACATCAATTCTGTTTACTGGCTGTATGAGAGGCAGAGTGGGTGTCCTCAGTCCCATTGTCATCCAAGAATGTGATAAAAAGGGCCTACAGTAATTGCTGCATTGTGATGCTGCAGGTAAAATTAGAATGCAGCATGAATTAAAAATATTTTAGCCTAATTGCATGTACTGCTCTACAGTTTAAGCCCCAGCTGAACCTCCCTTAGAGTTATTGATTAAACACCTTTGGCCCAGGGAGGTTATCCTCTTCCCCGCAGTGCTTCATTTCAACATGGCGTGTACTTTATGTTGCCTTTACCTTTTGATCATCCTAGAACTGTCCAATCATTCACATTTTTGTGACAACTTGACTTCTGTTCTCACATAGTTTCCAGCAAAGATGACGCTCTTTTTCTAGCTTTTCTAGCTTCCCGGTTTCCTTTGTCCCACTGGCTGCACCTGTGCTTTCCATAGCCCATAGACTTTACTTTGAGATGATGTTATGCACATTAAAATATCTTTTCTATGCTTTTTACAAATATAAAACTTTATATTTTTTTCATTTGAGTG